GTGTAATTTTGAGGCATATTATATGGTGCTGGATGAGATGTGCCCTGCGGTCCTTGAAAGCCAATTTGATAGTCACAAAACGGCGCCCTACCTGTCGAAGCTTGATCTGGAGGGTGGGACGGATAAGGCATATTTTGTGGTGGGTAAGGCATATTTTGAGGTAGGTATGGCACATTTTGAGGTAGGTATGGCACATTTTGAGTCGGGTAAGAAGACTGGACGTGAGATACTTGACTAGTTGTGTAGGGACTATTACTCGGTTCGATGACGCCAGAATTAATACCCACAGGAGCTTGTAATGGATCCGGTATGGGCCCGTCGGGCAAACTGTGAGCCATTGGGTGCTTGTACTCGTCTTGGGTGAAACCAATAAGAGGAATCAAGCCGAGACAAATTTCGGATTCATCTTCTAGATCGTCATCGCAGCCTGACAGTTTTACTTTCACCTGAAAAAATATAGATATTTGACATCAATACATACAGTTACCCTTGATAGGTTCGTCATGTGACCATGAATGTTATAGTTAAACTTTTTAAGCTTTAATGAAAGTCTCAGTGTACCTCTAACTATAGGTACAAGTATTGTCTAAATGGGTAAGCGTTTCACTTGAGTGCATCAACTTCAAATAGGACGATAACAATAATTCATTATTTAATAAAAATATGTATTCAAGCCGCACCTTAAAAAAATACCCAATATCGATGATCGTACAGTTTTCTAAGTTCGGGACAATCAGATCCGGCACTTTGAGGTTCACAGTGAAGTTCCTCGTGGTCTTGCCGAGCACCGCCCCCGACTTCACGGAGGCCAGGACCCTCTCAGGAGGCATGTACTCCGCCATCGGTTGCTTGGTGCGATAGCATTCTTTCTGCGAAAAATAACTATTTAGTGTAATACTGAAGTCAGAGTAGACTTTTTAAATACGTTATAAAAAAAACTAAACAAAAGAGTATTTGAGAAATACTAGTCAATTTCACGGGCTCTTTTCAAGACCAAGAAACTAACACCATAACAACAAACACTATAACTATTCTTTAGAGCCGTTATCGTTGGCGCATTCTGCTGCTGATTGTTTATTTTAATTGATCTTGTTTTCGTTGTTGAAAAATTTTTGAAGGGGGAGTACAAAGCTACAGTCAAAGGTGCCCGCGTATCGTTCAATACGACAGTATTTAAATCCTGCAATTAGATTTTAAAGCAATCAGAGCCTGACAATTGTTTAGAAATGTCTGCCACTTTGAAGGATTGGATTGGATAATGTGTATTAAAAAAATATCTTCAATGTTCTGAGACGAAATATTGAAACAAATTAGCAGTTTTGCCTAAGTTTTCTTTAAGTTGCACCTACATTGCTAGCGAGAGGCGGAGTTACAGGCGCGTTGTGATGACTGTATCCCACAGTTCAATTCTGCAAAGCACTGCTCTTGATCGGGCTAGTGTTAGCAAATTCTCTTAGGTTGAGCCTGTGAGCTCACCTACACATCCGCAAGAAATTGGAATAGGTAAGGCTATAAGCAAATAGTTAGGAAAAAAAATTAGACCAATGATACTAACCACGACAAGCTGATAGACAATCTTCTTTATTTCATTGCCGCTTCGGTTTTGTGCCTGCACGGATATGGGTATTATCTGCCCTGGGCAGTACCCCGTCACTGGTAATGTTATCTTAACACTTATTTCTCCTGAACCACAAAAACAGCTGCATCCTGCGTCAGTCTCCTCTAATTCAAAGTTTACGGGTTGCTGTGAATTAAATGTAATAATAGTGTAATTTTAACATTTGTTCCATTAGTATAGGTAATCGACGACAGCTGCATCCAAGGCACAGTCGAGCCACTGCCTACTGCTGAGGACTCTCTTCAAAATTTGTTAGATCAAAGACTTTCCCTCTCCTCTCCAAACTTTTTGGGGAGGCTTAACGACAAAGAGAAGATCTTCCACCGAGCGGGTGATATTGCTCGGTAGATCGACGGTCCGAATGTTGTTGTTCGGAACTTGTATATATGCGCTTTATCTTGAAAATGTCGTAAGCGAGATTCAGGCATCTGTCAATTATCTTGCGTTGTATGATGGCTACCCGCCACAGACTCATATATATCATTATAGCTCTCAAGCAACTCCGTGGAAGTAAATTCGTTGTACCATCACATAACATCGTGAAAACATTGTTGATTAAATAAATAAATAAATAAAATCTTTTAATGCTGTGCTGATTACATGCCAATTCACAACACACATTAGTATAGTGACAGTCAAGATTACCTTAACTGTGTCATTTGCAAGGTTCAAATCAAACGGAGCAACTACTTCAAAGATTGTCCCCAGTTCTTCTGCAGAATTATTAGCTTGAATAAGGCGAGCAGTAATCTTGTAATTGATATTGCCTCGTTCACCTGCCACTGTTGATGGTGCTGTGTGTGGTATTTGAAATCTGAATGGTAAAGATTGAGGACCGGCTGGAAGCTGAATTTGTCCTGAAAACACAACATAAACAAAACATTATTTCTGCAAAATACCTTACGCTGGCTGAAGATGCATAAACATGATTCTTCTATGGAATCAGAATTTTACCAAAAATTAGTTTTCAGAATGAAAACACATAAATGGGGTAACTCATTCAAAAATAGAGACCTACCTACCTTCCTTCCTACACATCTACTTTCTAATCAAATGTACCTCGTTATACATTCTATTTAGGATTTAAATTTGTTTTTCTAAATTTCAAAGTATTGAAGTAGGAAAGAAATCTATTAAAAACATCTCTGATATCTAATGTCGATCACTACAAGTAAAGAAAAATTTATAACATAATAATCACCATTGTTTGCGACTAGATGTTGAGTGTGCCTCAAATACACCTCGTTGCCATAGTATCTAACTTGTTTGTATTGTTTAACACCATTATATGTTTCAGTTTCTTTTTCGATCCACTCTACAACAGCTTCACCAGTTGCCTCAACAAACAAAGCTAAAAAAAGTTCCAAAGTAAATACTATTATAGAATAACAATTTATTTATTTATTTTTTATTGCTTAGATGGTTGGACGAGCTCACAGCATACCTGATGATAAGTGGTTACTGGAGCCCATAGAAATCTACAACGTAAGTACACCAACCACCTTGAGATATAAGTGCTAAGGTCTCAGTATATTTACAACGGCTGCCCCACCCTTAAAACCGAAAAGCATTACTGCTTCACGGCAGAAATAGGCGGCCTACCCGTGCGGACTCGCAAGAGGTTCTACCACCAGTAAATAAATGGATATTAAAATATTAGCTACTCTCATGACTGCAGTTTTGTTTCTATATTATTATTGTCCTACCTACCTACCTAGAGACATACGGTTGAAGACTCAATAATTTTTTGTACTGTAGTTGGATGCAGATCGCATATTCTACTTTGTAATTAATCAATTAAACCAGTAAGCCTCAGTCAGTGAAAAATTTATATAAAACATACTCAGAAATATTGTTTTTAATTCACGGGACAGATATTGCTGTATATTTAATAATGACGTCATTATTCACGTCCGCTTTATTTATAAATAAACATAATCACAACACTAGCTTTGCAAGAAAGAGATAGAATATGCCCTCTCATTCCGACCAATTGATAAAGCATACATCTCAAAACTTCAGCAGTTCCAATAACTGCAATACAAATATATACAGATTATTTAACACACATATTATATTTAATTTTATTTTCCAGTACATACGTTTTTACATTCACTNCACGTCCGCCTTATTTATAAATAAACATAATCACAACACTAGCTTTGCAAGAAAGAGATAGAATATGCCCTCTCATTCCGACCAATTGATAAAGCATACATCTCAAAACTTCAGCAGTTCCAATAACTGCAATACAAATATATACAGATTATTTAACACACATATTATATTTAATTTTATTTTCCAGTACATACGTTTTTACATTCACTAACCATCTACCCAATTAATGTGCACTTTAATTTAAGCGGCCCCCGTTGACTGTCATTAATTACCTTGAACCGTAATTGGTCGATCTAACGTAAAATTTACACTTCCCGTTACAATTTGACCAGAATAAAACACATTTCTTATTGAGTCCAACTTTATGGTGCCTTTTTCGAAACCACATTCCATTATTTTATTTTAATGGTTAAACAATGCTGGTTTTGAGAGGAATAGATCCTTAATTTGTTAAATTGAGTGTATTCCTACGTACAAAAACCCAGCGAAAACCTTATTCCCTAAATGTTTTGAATGGAATTTATTCTTTTTTTATCTTTTTTGGCTCCGGCACGGTTTGTGCATTAGCCAGCGTCAAGTGATAAGATTTTTATATTTCGCCGTTTTAATTATTTACAGTTTAGGATTAATAAGAAACGAAGGAAACTGTCCATTTTGGCCATTATTAATATCAGCGTAAGTGTGAATTAAATTAGCAGCTTGGGACGTATAGATAAATTAGGTTGAGAAAGTAATTTGATTAATGTATTTATTAACTCTGCAAATGCTAAAATGAAGTGAAATGAAATGAAGTGAGTGAAGAATGAAGATTGACGAGCTGTGTCATTAACTATTATAATAAAGCGAGGAGTGAAGTTGTGTGATTTGTTTTATTTTGTCTATTTAGTGTTTCTTCAGGTTTAAAGGTATAATAACGGTGGTTTACTAACTATTTAGTATCTGTGAAAGTGTACATATGTGGGAAAATAAGTAAAGCTGCGGGACGTAGCTTCTCGGGATCTTACAAAAAGTCCACTGAAAAAGTCTCAGTAATTGACCACCATTTTAATGAGATTATATTCATCCCACATCATCTCATCCCATTTCATTTCATCCCAGTTTATTAATGTCTCAAATTAATCATCTTCATTTCATTTCACTCCATGTTATCATTTTTCATAAAAATAAGAATAAAAATTAAAATACGACATGACCGAAAGGTCTTAGTTACCAGGTCATAAAATACCTTTAAAAAAAACACACACACAACAATCACATTGGTTCAGGTTGCAATTTGCAAACTTTTCATAGTTAAATATTTAATTGAAAATAATATTTAAATCTTGAACTTTGTTATATTTCACTTTTCAAGATGGGTAAACTCGACGTAGCTATATTACGTTACTTAACGGGTGAAGACTTTCGAGTTCTAACTGCAGTAAGTTAGTTAACATAATGATAACCTTGAATCAAATAATACATTTTTTTGAAAATAAATTTCTATAATTAATATGTTTATTTAAAGGTAGAAATGGGCATGAAGAATCATGAGTTGGTTCCTGGATCGCTTGTTGCATCCATAGCAAATTTGAGACATGGTGGCGTTCACAAACTAATGAAAGAACTATGTAAACATAGATTACTAACTTATGAACGAGGAAAGCAGTGTAAGTAAACACATTTGATTTAAAGTCAACCTAACCATAAGGCCACTCTTAAAATTGCAAATTAAGACTAAAATTGATAGTATGATTATGTACAGTGTGAACCTGAAACTAATAAAGATGATATTAGAATCACTGTTTTTGCTAGTAAGCCTACTTCTGCTTAAACATATCCTGTGGCACTGAAAAGTTATAATGCAGATACTTGTGCAGTTTATCTATATTAAAACAATGAAATATAGTTTCCAAGAATTGCATTCAATGTAAAATTTATTAAATAAGGTACAGCTCTTTGCTTTGTCATACAAGAGGAAACTTAGAACTTATTATACACAGTATATCAGTTGCAGCGGCTTGGCTCTGCTCCTGGCATTGCTCACGTCCATGGGCGACAGTAATCACTCACCATCAAGTGACCCCTATGCTCGTTTGCCTACAAGGGCAATACAAAAAAAAATATTAGTGAACAAATTATTTAGAATCAATGAGGTACAGATTAGTAAATTAAAATAAATTTCAGATGATGGTTATAGACTCACAAATGCTGGCTATGACTATCTAGCACTGAAAGCATTGGCCAACAGGAAAGTGATATCGTCATTTGGAAATCAAATTGGTGTTGGTAAAGAGTCTAACATCTACATTGTAGCTGATGAAGATCACAATCCGCTCTGTTTGAAACTTCATAGGTAACCAAGTTTGAAATGCTCACAAAGAACCAAATCTGACTTAATTTAGGCCATAAATATTGAGAAACATGTTAAAAAATTTACAGTAACTTAATTTTTTTTAGAAAAGTCTCAAGAAGGCTGTAAATAATTTATAATCAAAAACCTTTGTTCACAGATTAGGAAGGACATGTTTCCGAAACATTAAAGACAAGCGTGATTACCATGCACACAGAAATCGAGCTTCATGGTTGTATTTGTCTAGAATATCAGCTACGAAGGAATTCGCATACATGAAGGCTCTATATGATCGAGGATTTCCAGTACCAAAACCAATAGACTTCAATAGACATTGTGTTATAATGGAGCTTGTGCGTGGAGGACCTCTGTTAGTTTCATTACACATATACTTACATCAATAATATTGTTTTAATTGTAAATATCAATGTTATNCTTCATGGTTGTATTTGTCTAGAATATCAGCTACGAAGGAATTCGCATACATGAAGGCTCTATATGATCGAGGATTTCCAGTACCAAAACCAATAGACTTCAATAGACATTGTGTTATAATGGAGCTTGTGCGTGGAGGACCTCTGTTAGTTTCATTACACATATACTTACATCAATAATATTGTTTTAATTGTAAATATCAATGTTATGTTATGTTAAATATCAATGTGTCTCTGTCTGCCGTGTGTGCATAGCTGTTACTAGAACAAAATTGCTTAAATAAACATGGAAAAAAGACAAAATTGCTTAGAACAGGAAGTTGAAAGCTTACTTGTAGAATTCAACAGCTGTTGTGTGCACCCTTTGAACTGAAACACATTACTGTATTGTTACAGTTAGGCAGAACTAGTACCAACTCAAAAGAGTTCACTGTGCCAAAAATGATTACACAACATTTTTTTATGGGTTTTACTTATTTTTATAAGATGTTATTCCTTCATGGTTCAAATTGTGTGTGACAAAACAATAGTTAAACTATTTGGGACTATGAATCAAATTACTGCTAATTTAAGTTGCAAACTTACTGTATTATGTTTAACTTTGATCCAGGACTCATGTGACTTCAGTGGCTGACCCAGAAGCCCTATATGATGAACTTATGAACCTGATTGTCCGACTCGGTAACTGTGGTGTAATCCATGGAGATTTCAATGAGTTTAACATCATGATTGATGAGGATAACCATCCTGTTATCATTGATTTCCCACAGATGGTGTCCACATCTCACCCTAATGCTGAAGTGTAAGTTTGATCACAGATATTTAAATATTTTTAATTTTTTGTATAAAATTGTTCTACATATAAAATAATAAATTGAATATCTATAAATTAAATGTGATTCTTGATTTATGTAGTGAGCTGTAACTGCGGACTTGTTCTGAGTTTTTCATGGTAATTTAATGCCATGTCATGTACCCATAATAACAAAACACTATATAAATTCAGCCTCGCTCCCGGTCAATGGTCGGAAAATATCAATTGAAACACATAATTCGCTCTGAAATTCTTTGCTCTTAAAGATTGGTGTACACGAGATGTGCATGAGTTCATAGTTCATCGGATGTTAAGTGACTGTCTGTCCGTAGACATTGCAATGATTATGTTGCTGCCCCCCATGCAGAGGCGGATTATCCGTAAGGCAAACTAGGCACGTGCCTAGGGGCGTGTATTTACAAGGGGGGCTCGAGCTCAGAATTTTTAAATAAATAAAGATAATAACATCGACGATTAAGAACTAAATGCTGATCTATAATCTAAATCTATAATAGATTATATTGCACAAACATCGATATACTCGTATTATGCAATGTTGCGGGTTGCGGTTTATGTGCAATATTATGATGGCCATTTATGGCCGGTACAGGGGCGCCGATAAAGTGATTGCCTGGGGGCGCTCTGGACCTTTAATCCGCTACTGCCCCCATGGAATCATTAGTTTGTGTGTGATGCCTTTGATTTAGTGTATGTGTGTGTGTGATGACGTGTCGTGTCTGTGGGTGCAGGTACTTCGAGCGCGACGTCCGGTGCGTGCGCGAGTTCTTCAAGCGCCGGTTCGGGTTCGAGAGCTCGCTGTACCCGGCGCTGCGGGACCTGCGCCGCGCCGAGCGCCTGGACGCCGCCGTGGCCTGCTCGGGGTACCGCCGCGCCGAGGACCTGGACGACCGGCTCATGCGGGTGACTCGCGCCTTCCACGAATTATATCTTTACACTAGCTTTTGACATCGTCCGCGTGGAATAGTTCAAAAATAATGCTTTATTTTAGAACAAATTTGGTTAGCATAAAAAACGTTATAGTGAGCCAACATATTATTATGAGAAACATAGTGAGAAAACATTTTACTGGCCTGAATTGTGAATCTAAACTTATCTCGAATTCATTGGAATACACACATAAAAATTCATGAAATCTGACAAGCCGCTTAGGTGGAATTCACTGACATTTACACGGACAGACGAATTATATAAATGAAGATGAAATTTTAAATAAAAATGCATATTTTTAAAAATCAAAAATTTGTAAGTAAAAACATATTTTGGATAATTAAAAATGAAACATTCAATATATTTCAGGAAATGGGTATTGGTCTGGAAGAGAGCGACGACGATGAGTCGGACGAGGAGTTTGCAGACGCGGTAGACGAGAGGAGCCCCGCCTATACTGACGAGGAACTAGCGGCCCTCAGGCAGCAGGTGCGTGCGCGACCGCCGTGCCGTGCTACACAATAATCTATGCAGATATTATTCCTAAACGAACGATGTTTCGGGGTAATACGACAAAGGGATGAACTTACTGGTGGTAGGACCTCGTGTGAGTCCGCGCGGGTAGGTACCACCGCCCTGCCTATTTCTGCCGTGAAGCAGTAATGCGTTTCCGTTTGAAAGGTGGCGCAGCCGTTGTAACTATACTGAGACCTTAGAACTTATATCTCAAGGTGTGTGGCGCATTTACGTTGTAGATGTCTATGGGCTCCAGTAACCACTTAACACCGGGTGGACTGTGAGCTAGTCCACACATCTAAGCAATTAAAAAAAAACTTGACTACCGGGTGTACTTGCTCGGTAGAGTCGATGCCAAAGTTGTTCGGAACTTGTACGTATGCAAAGTTATAAAAATTGTCGTTATAGTGATTCTCGCATCAGTCAAATATTTTGTGTTCTGTGATAAATACGCGTTACAGATGAGAATACTTTTTTTTTTTAAATGAACTATGTGACACACATATTCTTGTGAATCTTTGAAACGGGTCCAAAGGTTTGGTATTGTTTAAAGCATTGGCGAAATCTTTCTAAAAAAAAGGGACGTTACAAAAAAAATTATATTATAACGCCATCTCGTAAATACCTGAGGTACTATAGTTGTTGCTAACAGAGTTTGGTGCACTTGTACCTCTGAAACTCTTGCAATAGATGTCGCTTACATAAATAAATTTATGAATTAAAATATCCTCAGGAATTGATAAAGCATTAAATTTGTTAAAAGAAATATTAGAATGCAAAGTTTATGTATCGACGCTTGAAAGGCAAACGTGACTAAGCGACAATGCGTGAACTTTACAGAAGACTAATTTAAAGTTGAAATACCTGAAAAAAGTCTATTTTAACGAATCTAGCTGTAGGATTGAAATTATATTAATAGATCTAGAAATACATTTTTTTTGCGCATTGGAAATGGCTATTGCCTATCATTTATGTACAAAGCAGTTATTGTCGCTTAGACACGTTTGCCTTTCAAGCGTCGGTATCTTATGATCGTAGTGGCGTTTTAAGGTAGTGTGAATCAATAATAAATACATTTGCAGGTGGACATTTCAATACAGAACGACAAACGCAACGACGCCGTCGACAACCTTACTACAAAGACCGTCACGCTCCATATTACGGAAGAGAACAAATCCGAAGCAGAAGAAGTACCGACTCTCGTTAAAGCAGAGGAGGAGGCTGAAGAAGTCACGTGTACAGAAGACACTGATAAAGTAGGAGAATTGAATAAGAACTCGCAGAAGTATCGACTGGCGATGATTGAGAAGGCGTTGTCCGATGTGAGGTCGATGAGGTCCGACACGTCCGCCAGCACCATAGCCCCGGCTGTCGTCAAACTGCAGGTGAAGAAGAATCTGGAACAGCGACAAAAGAAGATGGAGAGGAAGAAGGCCGTAGCAAAGGGAGAAGCCAGCGCCGTCACCAGGAGCAGGAGGGACAACTCCGAGACCATCAGGGAGAGCCACGGCTTGTGGGGCTGGGACGAATAGATATTGTTGTGTATTTTTGTTAATAAATCATTATAATCAATAGTGTTTTATTTATTTATTAGCGGGTCAATGAAGGGGGAGGGTGATGGGAGAGATGTGCTCCGCACTAAACGCTTCATTTTTCCCCCTTTGTCTTTTCATTAGTTCTGACTCATGCGAGGTTCGGATGTAGGTTGTTGAGCGACAGGAGGTTTTAGTCAGTTCGACTCCGACATGCCCCGCCCTCCATCCCCAGAGGAGGGAAGGAAGGAGGAAGTCCGGCGATTTCCTCCTGACCAAAAAAAAAAGCGGGTCAATGAACTCAAGGACTATCCAATAATCCTCGAATGCCATTGACGTGTCGCCACCCTTCAAATGGTAGCCCATTTTTGCTTCGCGGTAGACATGGGCAGGATAATGGTGCCTACCCACATATTGCGTATTGATGATTGCGGCACGCTCATGAGAAGGCGTCTGCCCCTTCCTTCCCCGATGTAACCCTAAGTTTCTTTCATGACACGTACGAGAAGACAAAGGGTCGTACCAATCTAATATCGAAAACAAAAACAAGCTACGACAAGATTCCTTCAAATAATTGATGCCATTATATAGTTTCGAGTCGAATCGTATTATCCTAAAGGTTTTCTTAAAGTTTTAATGTGTACATACGAATTTTCATCTAAAACATTTGAACATTATCCCTTTGTGTCATATGTAGTATGGAAACTGCCGTTTATACTAATGGAATTAAGGCTTCTATTTCATGTTTCAAGTTGACGACAGCCTCTTACCAGTCTTAACACCAAGCTGTATTGGAAAATCGAACATATAAAATAATACACACAACAGTTAAATTTTTATTTAAAAGATTGATTTACAAAAAAAACCTAAATTTATGAAGTTTCTTCATTATCATCTTCACTAGAAGTTTTCTTCTTGATTTCGTTGTTGAGCTTCGGTTTCGCCAACCAGTTGTGGTCGCGGATATACAGTAGCTGCAGAAACGCTTCCAAACAAAATATCTGAAAGCCGATTAGATTCTGTTTTGCTACGAAAACCAATTTAATCAAATTTGCCAAACTTAAGTTAGTGAGTATGTCGGATTTGAATCAACCGAGTTTCTCGATAGAACTACTCAGTCGCGATTCCGATCCGGCAGTTTTTTCAGCGAAGTAGGTACTGCTCTTAGTAGGGGCCAGTGTTAGCAACTGGTGGTAGGACTTCTTGTGAGTCCAGACGGGTAGGTTCACCGCTCTGCCTATTTCTGCCGTGAAGCAGTAATGCGTTCCGGTTTGAAGGGTGGGGCAGCCGTTGTAACTATACTGAGACCTTAGAACTTATATTTCAAGGTGGGTGGCGCATTTACGTTGTAGATGTCTATGGGCTCCAGTAACCATTTAACACCAGGTGGGCTGTGAGCTCGTCAACCCATCTAGCAATAAAAAAATAAAAATAAAACAGTTTCTCGATAGATCTACTCAGTCGCGATTCCGATGCGGTAGTTGTTTCAGCGAAGTAGTTACTGCTCTTAGCGGGGGCCAGTGTTAGAAATTTATCTCAGGCAGAGCCCAATGACCGCCACTAATCACTACGATGGTACAATAGCTACAAGCTGTTAGGTAGGCATAAAAAGGGTTTTAGGTGCTGTTTTAAAAAATCAATCCAGAATTGGCATCCTACATTTGTATTTCTGCGGCAATCTATCATCAGCTTATCGTAAGACAAATAGTGGGAGAGAAAAAGTAGGTAGCGGCTTGGCTATGCCTGTGCCAGTACTGATGTCCAAGATCGAGTGGTTCGCGAGAGACTGTCTATTTTCTCACTCTCGCTCTTCCTAAATTGTATCTTTTCTCTCGGCCGTAACGAATCTGTCGCGAGTTAAATTTTACAACACGCCTAAAGCAGTTTCACTTCAATAATGTCACAGTCAATGGCCGTACTTTATTACTAACCGTTTCATTTTTTTTGTCAAATCCTTCCAACGTATAAGTGTAGCCGAAGACGCTAGTCGATATTTTAGATTCGTGAACTGTCAAGTAATTGTCCTCTGTGAACACTGGGAACTGGGACAAATAGTAATCGCCGGCTTGGATCGGACAGTCCATACTGCGAATCAAGGGAATTGTAATTAATATCGAACAAAAATATTACTATCTTGTATAACAATTACACCCTGGATCTCGTGTGTCACTGTGAAAACATTTTAAGTATTTTTTCTATCATTTTGCATATAATTACAGGAAAGCTCTTTTCAATTAATTAAGTACGATAATTTATTCTAAACATTGACAACTGACTCGTCCTTGCGTCGATAATCCTCAATACTGAGTGTCGCGGCCTACTTTAATAACCTTCTCCGGAATTATTCTGTGACTTCCCTGCCTATCATCAGCTGTGCGGATGCCATTGTGAACTGAAGCGTTGAGAGTAGAGCGTATCTGGTCCGTCCAGCGCATTGGACTTCTGCCTCTGGACCTTCTTCCGCATACCTTGCCTGTTACCAGCAGCTTTTCTAAATTGTGACCTATCTTGCTGGCAATGTGTCCAAAGAACTCAAAACTCCTCCGCGCGCATATAGTGCTGAGCCGCATCGGAATCTTGAGCTCGACAAGAATGGATTCGTTGATTCTGTGTTCTGTCCAATGAGTCCCGAGCATTTTCCTTCAGCACCAAATCTCAAACGTGCCGATGCGTTGGCGATCGGCTTTCTTAAGGGTCCCAATCTATGCGCAGTAAAGGAAAATGGAGAAGATAAGGAAGGCGATGAGCTGCTTCTTGGTATTCCTCGAAATGTTCCCCGTTGACAATCACGAGGCATTTAATACATAGTTAATGGATATGGAAAAGAATTTTAATTTTAAAACTAACTTCGGTTCGATGTAATGAAAAATCATGGTGTAAAGTTCTGCTTCCTCTCCGCTGTCGCTGCTGCAGCCATCCTTCAGGATGTAGTAAGACCTGAAGTAGTCGCACGTGTCCGTGTTCCGCAAATCTTGGCATTTCTGCATCGTGGCCTGATAGAATAAAACAGAGAGAAAAATTCTCACAGAAAAATATATTATGTTTATAGTGTGTGTGTTTTTAGTTAAAATGAACAAATAAAACGGCTTGCCCAACTTGAAACAAAAAATTTAAATTTTCATTGGATTGGTACTACCATTACCATACCATACCATATACCGATACCACAAATACCATAGCTGTATTTTTTATTATTTTTTATTGCTTAGATGGGTGGACGAGCTCACGGCCCACCTGGTGTTCAGTGATTATCAGGGCCCATAGACATCTACAACGTAAATGTCGCCATCCACCTTGAGATATGAGTTCTAATGTCTCAGTCTTTAAAGTACAACGACTGCCCCACCCTTCATACCGAAACGCATTACTGCTTCACGACAGAAATAGGCAGGGTGGTGGTACTTACCCGTGCGGATTCACAAGACGTCCTACCACCAATAAGTAGCCTTCGAAGGTTCTTACCCTTCGAAGCTATAATCGGGGCGTCTAATCGCTCCGTGTCGGTAGTGGCTCGTCAGAATAGTGGTACCACTGAGCTCCGCAACACTCAAGGACACAGTTCATGATGACCTGAAGGTTGGCTCAGTCAGTAAGTATCTACAGTCGCCATCATAGCGCCACTTTGAGAAGGCGGTATGACATGAACACCCTCTGGTCGTGGCCGTCGGTAATTACATCCCCATTCCTGTGGACCGAATGGTAAACAGTCGACTTCGCCCTAAATACGTCATTACGGATCCTCTCGATCCATTAACGGTGCTTTTAGGTACCTCAAGCACCGGTCACCGTTCTTGCTGAACCCGTCGCCTGCGACGAAGGGCTCGTCTAGTTAATTAACCCACAGGCACAACCCACTGAGTTTCTCGCTGGATCTTCTCAGTGAGTCGCGTTTCTGATCCAGTGGTAGATTCTGCGAAGCACTGCTCTTGCTAGGGCCAGTGTTAGCAACACTCTCGGTTTGAGCCCCGTGAGCTCACCTACACGTCAAGGAGAAGCTGAAATAGACTCTCAAGGCTATCAGCATAGGTAGGGAAAAAAAGGACGCAGGTGTAGGTACCTATGTAAATNGTTTCTCGCTGGATCTTCTCAGTGAGTCGCGTTTCTGATCCAGTGGTAGATTCTGCGAAGCACTGCTCTTGCTAGGGCCAGTGTTAGCAACACTCTCGGTTTGAGCCCCGTGAGCTCACCTACACGTCAAGGAGAAGCTGAAATAGACTCTCAAGGCTATCAGCATAGGTAGGGAAAAAAAGGACGCAGGTGTAGGTACCTATGTAAATATTATGAGTGTTTCGATTAAATTGTATTTTACGAATTTAGTTTTTAATAAACGATGTTTAATACTCTTTAGTACTTATTCTTTGCGGCAACGTATACGTAATACGAATACACGGCGCATCTTACCTAGGAACATAAATAGGCCAAAGACGCTTTAGACTATTAAACTCGTTTAATTTGCAAATCCCACGGCTCATGGCTGAACCTTTGCTCGCCTACCTGTCCCGGTGAAACTGGAAAGGCCTCCGGGCCACCAGTAATCCTTCAATCCTAAAAAAAAAGGAAGAAATACCTCTTAATCTAAATTTTGTGGCTGCACCGTAGGTAACGTACCTTTAAAGTCCAACCATTCTCAATATTCCTCGATATGTGAATATCTCCGCTGACGGCAGAGTCGTGAGTTTTCGTTGTAATGCTGAACTCTCCGACGCTTACGACGGGGACTGGTGAACCGTAGCACGGGCCGATTCTCGTGACCATCATGTGGGTGGGAGCTATGGACGCGTAGCAGCACGTAATATTTATTATTAAGATTATAATACAATAGCAGTGTAGCATTTTTGCTAAAACTCTGTGTAAGCCGTACCGATCCAACTTCGTAATAAACACGTTAGGGTATATTAGTTTTTAAGTATCGGTCGCGACAGTCGTTTTTAGAAAGCGTTTGTGAGCTACATTCCTTTTTTTTGTTTTAGTATTTAAACTATTCCGGCTTACGGTCTACTGAGTCCACTGATGTTTCTCGCCGGATCTTCTCAGTGGGTCGCGATTGTAGATCCTGCTCTTGCTAGGGCTAGTGTTAGCAACGTCCACATGTTAGAGCCCCTTGAGCTCACCTACTCGCCCGGTGAATCTAGTATGACCCCTCGAGGTCACTAGAATAGGTAGAGGAAAAAAAAGGTCTACTGAATCTTTATTTTGTACATTTGTCTAATTGAAATACGTGGTGAATTTTGGTAATCTACAATAACTTCAAACACTCTTGATGATAAGTCAATCGGCTAGCTCATTCAGTAAAAAACAAAGTCTTTAATGAGTCATGCTGTGTGTGTGCGTGTGTGCGTGAGCGCGCGCACTCAAGCACGCACGTGCATGAGTGTGTAAAGAACATCCAAGGAAACTATGCCAGGAAACTTGACAGCTGTTCTGTAACTTTTATTTTGAATGACAGTAAAATATAATTAATATGGTATTATCAAAATAGTCACTACTGATCAGAAATAAATTGAGAAAGGTGTGGAGGGGCCTCTACTTCGTCCACGATCGATCAAGTTCATAGGTAATAATGCTTATAAAATTATTCTAAAGAGTCCTATTCTTTTTGTCTAAAGCAGACATCGAGTGATGAGTTTCCAGTAATTCACGTAGAGTTAAAACTCATTAAATTCGCAGTGATTTCTTTCTCTACTCTACATGAATGATATTATCCTTGAGTGGCCACTAATAAACATATTTAATATGAGCTTATTATTTTTGTCTTAATGAATCCTCTATTCTAATGGTACTCAGACTGTAAGCACCTGTCTCTACCTTTTTTTTTTAATTGCGCTTGCAGGTGTACTAGCATACGGCCCACCTGATGGTGAGTGGTTACCGTCGCCTTTGGATGTCAGCAATGCCGGCGTCAGAGCCAAGCCGCTGCCTACCGTTAAATACTCTCCACACGCCTCGTTTGAAGAAGGCCATGTCATAGCGCTCGGGAAACACCGTATAGGGAAGCCCATTCCAAAGCCGGATGGTACTTTTTTTTATTGCTCAGATGGGTGGACGAGCTCACAGCCCACTTGGTNTGGTGAGTGGTTACCGTCGCCTTTGGATGTCAGCAATGCCGGCGTCAGAGCCAAGCCGCTGCCTACCGTTAAATACTCTCCACACGCCTCGTTTGAAGAAGGCCATGTCATAGCGCTCGGGAAACACCGTATAGGGAAGCCCATTCCAAAGCCGGATGGTACTTTTTTTTATTGCTCAGATGGGTGGACGAGCTCACAGCCCACTTGGTGTTAAGTGGTTACTGGAGCCCATCTACAACGTAAATGCGCCACCCACCTTGAGATATAAGTTCTAAGGTCTCAAGTATAGTTACAACGACTGCCCCACCCTTCAAACCCAAACGCATTACTGCTTCACGGTAGAAATAGGCAAGGTGGTGGTACCAGTGACCAGAAAGATCTCTGGAAACGCACTGTGGATGAACGCAGTGGCTCTAGGTAGTATGGATGAACTTTACACCAGTGGCGGGCGGTGTGGATAATCTCATACAATTCCTTAAAGCACTCTCCGTGGAACATACGGTACAAAATACACAGAGAACTGAAGTCCCTCCGCAGGCCCAGTGGTTCTAAAAGTGTCTAGGGTCTAGGTGGGCCACAATCACGTCGTGACGTTTTTAGGCTGATGAGATCAGATAACCTGTTGCCAAATGGAACGAGAAGTCGTTTCACGGCCAAAAAACAATATACCTAAATCATTTATTGTGAAAAACTTTTATTTTCAACTATACTCGGAAAATCAGATCCGATAATCATTGGCTTGTGATCTCTCTGTAAAATAATAATGACTTTGTAATGTCATTTTAATGTTATATGTAATTAGAACATGTAGCCATGACATGTTATGATCAGGGTTGTTACGGATGCAATAATTTAGACATCCGCGGATGCAGATGCGGATGCGGATTATTAGAAGTTCACATCCGCGGATGCGGATTGGATGCGGATGCAGATGTAATACAGATGCGGATGCGGATTTTGCGATTTAAAAAAATTATCCTTTTAAAATCCCAAAATCCATGAATAAATAACTGAAAATCAATTTAATTTTAACTTTTTATTTATTTAATCATATTTTTTGAACAAAATTATACAAGTTTTTGGTTTTACTTATGACAACAGAATTTTAAGCTTCGAGTTTCATAATAAAAAATATTTGTTTAATAATTAACCTTAAAAATTGTTGAATTATATCTAATAAATAGAAATATTGCAGCCTTCTCAGTTTTCAACCTGTTTCTTAGTGGATTATATATTAACCCAGCTCCACTAAATAGTTGTTCGCTGGGAATACTGGCTGGTGGAGGTGGTAAATATCTGCATGCTAATTTGGAGAGAATTTTTTTCCTGCCTGCTTCATAATTTTTTCTTCAATTCCTTTTCCTTATTCGCACTTTGGAATTAATAAAACTCATCCGGGAGTATTTATTTCCGGTGATTTTTCAAAGAAGTAGTAGTGCGTCCCTTCCACGAGTAACTTTTATTGCATATCTTACACTCCGACTTCTCCGGATCATTTTTGTCTATTGTATATTGTTATATAAGACTTATAGTCCAAATACTTCTTTTTATTGGTGGCGACATTTCACTTAATATTTATATNCACAAGTGGCAGGCGGTGTGGATCATCTCAAACAATTCCTCAGAGCACTCTCCGTGGAACATACGGTACAAAATACAGAGGGAACCGAGGTCCCTCCGCAGGCCCAGTGGTTCTAAAAGTGTCTAGGGTCTAGGTGGGCCACAATCACGTCGTGACGTTTTTAGGCTGATGAGATCAGATAACCTGTTGCCAAATGGAACGAGAAGTCGTTTCACGGCCAAAAAACAATATACCTAAATCATTTATTGTGAAAAACTTTTATTTTCAACTGTACTCGGAAAATCAGATCCGATAATCATTGGCTTGTGATCTCTCTGTAAAATAATAATGACTTTGTAATGTCATTTTAATGTTATATGTAATTAGAACATATAGCCATGACATGTTATGATACCTCAGACTTCGGGTAAGTACTTTGCTTACTTGTACAGTAAAAGCTCTTTACTCGCGGGGTATATATTTTATGATTGTCGTGGCCTAAAAGATAAGACGTCCGGTGCATTCGTATCTAGCGATGCACCTGTGTTCTAATCCCGCAAGCGGGTACCAATTTTTGTAATGAAATACGTATTTAACAAATGTTCACGATTGACTTCCACGGTGAAGGAATAACATCGTGTAATAAAAAACAAACCCGCAAAATTATAATTTGCGTAATTACTGGTGGTAGTCTTGTGCGTCCGCACGGGTAGGTACCACCACCCCGCCTATTTCTGCTGTGAAAAATATGTTTCGTGAATATGACGGAAATATTGAAAAGCGCGTTTACAAAGAATATTCGGTTGGATGCCTACATATTGGAATCAATGTTATGTATCGATGTACTGATTAGATCCGCGAATGAAGAAATCTTTAGCCGTGAACACAGCAAATGGATCGCATTTTTTAATCGGCGAATAGTGAAAACGCGAATGGAATTCGAATAAAGAGCTTTTACTGTATAACATATCGTGTGTGTAAATATAAAGCAATACATGCGTTACGCTTAATTAAAATGAAACCAATTTCGAATTGGGATAGTTTCTTGACCATATGTATGTTTTAAAATGTTGTCATTTTATATTATGAGATGCAGTAGCATTAACACTCGTAAAAAATGCATAAATAAGTACGTATATAAACAAACTAATTACAATTACTCTTACTGTTAAAGTTAGCAGGCTGAAGTGCTAATGGGCCGGTCACATCTGTCGAGCCAGTGACGCCAGGTGGGGGAGGAAAGTCCTCGAATGGAGGCCACGGATGGGTACCAGGAGCGGGGGNCATTTTATATTATGAGATGCAGTAGCATTAACACTCGTAAAAAATGCATAAATAAGTACGTATATAAACAAACTAATTACAATTACTCTTACTGTTAAAGTTAGCAGGCTGAAGTGCTAATGGGCCGGTCACATCTGTCGAGCCAGTGACGCCAGGTGGGGGAGGAAAGTCCTCGAATGGAGGCCACGGATGGGTACCAGGAGCGGGGGCGTCCTCCAACCACGTGGACCGACGACTTAGTGCGCACGGCGGGAAGTCGTTGGATGCGGAAGGCGGAGAACCGCATGATGTGGAAGGCATTGGGGAAGGCCTATGTCCAGCAGTGGGCAAATAAAGGCTGATGATGATGATGATGATTACTGTTTAATCTCGAAAGTATTATTTCCATTTTATTATGTACCAGCGACCCGCCCTGTTCTGAAACATGAAATTTTATTATTCATAGCGGAGTCCCGCGATGTTACACACGGTTATTGTCGTACCACGGGTGACGCCGCGAGGCGAAGCTGGTCTAAAAAAAGTAGCCTAAGTTACTCTTTATATCATCAGTTACTTATCAGTGAAAGTCTCAAAATCGGTCCAACGGTTCCAGAGATTAGCCGGAACAGACTGACAGACAGACAAACAAAAATTGTAAAAAATGTTATTTTGGTGTATGTACTGTATGTATATATTCATATGCATGTAGTAAAAAGCGATTATTTCAATATTACAAACAGGTACTCCAATTTTATTTATATGTATAGATTATTGTAAAATGTAACAACGTGAGCTCATTTTACTTATCGAAAACTGTAAAGAAGTAGTAAAAAGGATAAAAATAATTGTTATCTTATTCGAAAAAG